TTTAAAACAATCTTTAAATATAATAACATACTATGAACAAGCCTTAGTGCGCACTCAGTGCACACTAGTGCAAGCAACCGAATTCGCTATAAGTCAAACTGAACAAAAAATTTCTTTACCATTTTTGATAAAGTAAAAAACTACGTAAAATACCACGTTTATATGGTACGTCATATGGTACATGAGTTGTGTTGGCAACGTCCGCCGCCAAACGAAGAAAATTCGCGCAGGATTATGCACGATAATACATAACTCTTTTTTAAATAACAACTAAAAATTATTTGCAGAATGGTAAAGGATTTTTTTGTTCAGTTTGATTTAATATACAAATACTCAGCGACGAACTTCGTCATCACACCTACCATATGTCAACTCATCTACCATATGTCGTGTCATCATTCACGAATCTTCTTTGATTGAAAAAAATTTTTTTTAAATAGTAAAAAAAATCTTTTATTCAGTTTGTGTGTGTGACTTAATCTATACCCTCACGAGCAATGGCATCATTATTCTGGAACACTATATATATATATATATATATATATATATATATATATATATATATAGAGAGAGAGAGAGAGAGAGAGAGAGAGAGAGAGAGAGAGAGAGAGAGAGGAGTATTTACGAAATATTTGGACAAACTTCTAAGACGTATTTCTCTCGTCAAAATAAAGAAAAAGATTTACATAAACCTATAATCATGAGTAGCTGCAAAGTTATATTAAAACAAAATTTACTTTATATAATATTATTACTAAGTAATCATATAAATAAATATTTAAATTATAACAAATGCTCAAAATAATCGCTATTTTATTAAAGGCAGACAATGGATGTTTACGATAATTCGAGTTTGACTTAGTACGAGTTAGTTTTACTAGGACCATAAGATATGAGTATCGAGAATCGAGAAATAGAAAGTATCGAGAATCGAATAGAGTAGAGTAGAGTAGAATTAGGGTAGCGTAACGAATAGTATATGTATAATATACTATTAATATAATTAATAGTAATTAATACTATTATATAATATTACTATTATATAATTATATAATATTAATACTATTAATATTATATAATTAACAATATTAGATAATATAGTTTCGTAAAATATGTAACAATAATATTACAAAAAACAATGGGTTATTACATTATAGAAAAATTAGAAGCTAATAGAAGCATTATAGAAAAATTGTCTAACATATGTTAGAAAATTGGCAACACAATCTAAACAGAATATCTTGGTTAATAACAGGTTAGAATAATAGGTTTCTACTTTTGGATATTTCACAAATGCATGATACTTTTTCATAATTTAATTTAGTGTTTCTAATTTTTCTATAATGTAATAACTCATTGTTTTGTAATATTATTATTACATATTTTACGAAACTATATTATCTGATATTTTTAATTCTTATACATATATTATTCGCTACGCTTCCCTAATTTTACTCTACTCGATTTCGGACAGCATTAAGTTGTCATGAATAATGAAGATACTAGATGCTTGTGCCTATCATATCTTTCGGCCCTAGTGAAAGTAACTTGTATTAAATCGAACTCGAATTATCGTAAACACTCATTGGCACAACGGAATGAGGATTGTTAAACTATTTCAAAGGTTTGCTATTGATTCTGTATTCCTCACAAGTATTAATAATGCGTTGGCGAAACATTTTTTTCATTATCAATAGGTTGCGAATACACAAAATGCTTCAAATGTGCCTATAGATACAATTCAAGTGGATTTAAGTCTGAGGAATGTGGAGGTCATGCGACTCCACTGCCAATCAATTTATCTGGATAATTATTATTGAGCCTATTTCTCGCTTGACGGCTAAAATGATGATGCTCCATCGTGCATAAAACACATGTTCTAGACACGCCTCGACTGTTATAATTTAAATGTTTATTTACGATTATTTAATAGTAACATTAACGTAAACCTTATTTTTCCTTAACTTCGCAAGCACTCATATTTGATTATGGATTTGTATAAATTTTTATTTTGATGAAAAGGATATACGCCCTATAAGTTTGTCCAAGTATTTCATATCCTATATATCTGCGACTCTTTCTCTTTCTCTTATCTATCTTCGATCACCATTACAGAGACTCACGTCTCGCAGTCGTAAATACTCTGAAAAAAAGAAAACTACAAACTCCCTCTTCCGACGTGTGCCGATTCCACTCGACAAATCGAACTCATTACTACACGTAAATGAGATCACGTCGTTAGACATAAGAAAAAAGCGTACGCTCATTATGAGACAAACGGAGAACGAAAACGTTGATGATACAGGCGTTGACAAACGTTGAGTTCACAAGCGAGCCGAATGTTCAAAATAGACGCGTGCGAAAAGCGATGTAACTTCTCGCACTTCTCGTCTCGATGAGCTTGTATTACCAGTACTTTGCTGGCAATCGATAGCGACGATTCTCGTTGTCGCGATACAAATCAGACCGAGCCCCGCGGCCGCGTCTTCTTAGCGCTCGCACGGGCCATCAGCTCCTGACAGCCATTTAAACGGACCCGCACGTTTGATTTGCAGCGTGGAATGATAAATGGTGGCCACCAGCAGCATGGTATATGAGGAGATAGTCGGTATACGGGGCAGCTGACCCCAGCCGCCGCGCACGCTTTTCACGCGCGAGATGCCCCACAATCTAAACTCAGCTTCCGCCAACTCCGCCAACACGGGACCGAATCATCAAGCTTATCCCCAGCAACCGTACCATCGAGAGAACGCAGATGGACTCCAGCCCGAGGTATGCGAACTCGATATGCTGATATTTGTCCGCTTATCTATTACTTGGGAATACGCAAAATGTCCGTTTCCGCAGAAAGAACCGGTGGAGTTTGATACGTTGCATCTGCGTGGTGCGCCAGCGGAGGTCGAGGCGTTGGTACATAACATCAAGGAAGTCGCGCAGCAGTTCCTCTACCACTGGCGAACATTCCCCATCGTTCTGCCGCCGCCGTTATCCTCATGCACGGAGGGCGAGGACACATTGGCACGTAAGAAGTACCACTTGAGGGATCTCTTCGTGGCGCCCAGCTTCGACGAGCTGGACGCCGTCGCCGTGGACAGCAAGGGCGAGCCCAGAAGACTGACTAACAAGCAACTCGAGAGCATTCGGGAACGGGGGTAGGTGTTGCGTTCGCGTGTTGGGTCTCTCACGGTCTCCTCTCAATTTTACTTATTCTGACCGTCGTTAGCTAGTGCTGTTGAGTGTAATCACACGTTATACACGTAGCGGCAGTAGATAGACGTAGAGAGATCTTAGCGTAATGGACAGACAAACGTACATACGCATTATTATTATTAGTCGCCGATTTCGATGATCAAGTCGAGATCGTGAAGTACGGATAAAAGGCGACGTTACTCCGAGCGTATGAATTCGCGAAAAATGAGAACCGTCAGGTCACGCCTCTGTGTCACGCTCGCGCTTTCAAACGAATAAATACACAGCGTACGGTATAGTCGTGCAAGATAAACATAAAGCGATCTTCGCTTCGTCTCGCCTCTCTGCGTGTGTCTCATATGTTAATAACGATTTCTGTAAAGCTTACACAAGGATAAATATGGAAAGCCGAAGAAGCTGAATGCCACTCAGTTGGAGAGCATTCGAAGATACGGGTACGTGACGCACCAGCGATTTAAGCATAAAAGACACGTTAAGGATAAACAAATAACCGGATAGGTAAACGGATCTTTTGTACAGAGCGGCCTCGAAACTGACTAACGGCTCCTCCACGCGCGATACTACTTGCCGCGTTCACAGCATGATTTCTGACTCTCGCACCGCTATTATTAATGCTATTTTAAATTTACACGATCATTAGCAGAGTGTCGGAGAAAAAGAAACACGAATTCTCGTACAATTATTCGTGCGAGTAAAATTGGAGTTTGGTGTAATCTAACGCGTGCTCATCACGATTGTCGCATGGCACTCTCGATTTGTAAATAATCATATTCTCAGGTATTTTCTTTATTTTTAGCTTAGATTGAACTTATATAAAGGATATTCTAGAACAATGGTTCCACCGCTGGTGAGATGTAGATTAGATCAAACAAAACAAAAAAATCCTCTACTATTTTTCAAAAAACTACGTAAAATTTTGAGTTATTAATAAAAAAAAATTCGTGAATAATTATGCACCATAGATGAGCGATGTTTGTCGCCGTATGCTTACTTTTTAACCTACATTTTAGGTCAAATTAAACAAAAAATCCTGTATTATTTTGTAAATAACAACATAGATTTTTAGTTATTAATTAAAGAAGATTGGCGCATGATTATGCGCGATAATGTACCAAATCTTTTTTAATTATAATAGCTAAAAATCTACATGAGCATTTGCAAAATGATAGAGGATTTTTTTATTTAACCCAATATATACAAGAGCGGCAGACGTTGCCATCACAACTCATCTATCGTATGACATGTGATCACTCACGAATCTTCTTTCATTAATAACTCAATTTTACATTTTTTGGAAAATGGTAGATTTTTTTGTTGAGTTTGACCTAATCTACACCCTTATGAGCAGTGGCACTTGTTCCAGAATACCTTGTGTATGTATATATACATACTAGCTCGATTTCACAATCTCTTGCGAGAACATAGAGCGGATTGGGATGAACAAAAAAACCTAATATCGTTTTGCAAAAATCACAATAATAATAGAGATATTGTAAAATTTGTGAATGATCATGCATAGTATAGTAGAAAGCTATAATAGCGACATCTGCCGTCGTATATTTGTATATTAGATCAAACTGAGTATAAAAAAGTTTTCTACTATTTTGCAAATAACCACATAGATTTTTAATTATTAATTAAAGAAAATTATTACATGATTATGCGCGATAATGCACTAATCTTCTTTAATTAATAACTAAAAATCCACGTGGTCATTTATAAAATGATAGAGGACTTTTTTATTCAGTTCATAGACGTAAAAATACATGGACGGAGCAAAAAGTGCGATTATAGACGAGAGGCTGTGAAGTCTAAGGGGCAAGGGAATTACAACGTCGCAACCATGTTGGTTGAGGAGTTTTATATCTATTTCAGTGTATAAAAACAGCGACCGTCGTTATCTTGGTATATCAACTCCATTACAATACAATCATTCCCTTCATTCCTTGGGCTTCACCCCAGCGACAATTCGCTCCGTCGATGTATTCTTACGTTCATGATTCAGTTTGATCTAACGTACAAGCATATGACGGCAGATGTCGTCACTACAGTTTATTTACCGTATCAAACATCATCACTTACAAATTCTCTTTAATTAAAATCTTGATAGTTATTGCTAATATCGCAAACCGGTATAGAACTTTTGTGTTTACCTCGATTCATTCTACGCCCTCACGAGAAATTGTGAAATTGAACTGGAACACCTTGTATATACAGGTTAACTTAAATCGAGCATCTTAAATTTCTCATTTATTTTTGATGGTACGAAAAAATGTCTAAAGAAAAAGTTGCACCGTTCATAAGAACAATTATGATAACAGAACAAAATTTTTTCAATGTCATTTTTCCAGAAATTTGAAGATCAAGGTAATTTTTATTTAATGGAACAAAACATGTTTGCACGCTTCTATAATCAATATTGAAACGAGTCCTACAATTTATGACAACAATATCTTTAAATAATCTTAAACATGGAAAATTACGTATGTTTAAAAAAAGAAAAGTCAAATATTTATGCTCTTTAACACAAAAATTTATTTAAGAAGATGCTCAAAATTATATTTTTCAATACATTTTTTAATACGATACATAAATGATACTGTTATTTTTTTATCATTTCTGAATTTATAATCACACGTGAGTTAGACAACCATCATATTGATACTACAATAGTAGATATTTATGTTTAATCTTATGAATTTTTTGTGAATTCAATGTGGAACACTCCATCTTGACTTCTATAACATATTATATTTGTAAACATATGTACTATTTAGGTTGTAAAATGCTATTATATTTGTAAACATGTACTATTCAGATTGTAAAATGCTTTCGCGTAGTTCAGTATTTCCTGAGATTGTCATAATATCAGAGTCGAAATATGAATAATTACATGAAAAAGAAAAGAATAGAAATCCTCCTAATTTGAATCCTCTAGATTTTTTTTATGGGGAATGTTAAAAAACATTATTTACAATGATATATCAACTACATAAGAGACCATAAAAGAGCGTAATTTTAAATTCGGTAAATAATTAATAATTTAATTAATAGGTAATAATTTAAATTCGTAATTTTAAATGCGATTATAAATTCAGAAATAATAGAAAGGAAAATAGTATTATTTATTGCATCATTTATCATATTTATGTATCGTATTAAGAAATGTATTGAAGTTGAAGAGTATCATCTTAAACATCTCCTTAACACTAGATTTATGGAACAATTTGACGGGTATCCGAAGAAATAGATCTACGATATAAAGAATTTCAAAATTAGAAGTCTGAGAAGTAAATGAATAATTTGAATATATATTCCTATCATTCCATTAATAAAAGTCAACAAAAATTGCTAGAAAATAATAATAATAGTTTCTGTAATTTTGCTCGTGAAATCCGAAACGTTTAATTAACGGGTCCCGTAAATCTAGTGTTAAATAAATTTTCGTGTTGAAGAGCATAAATATTTCACTTTTCTTTTTTTCAAACATACATAATTTTCATGGTCCAAGATTATTTAAAGCTTATATTGTCATAAATCTGGAGTCTTCTCGACATTGGCTATAAAAGCGTACGAACAAAAACATAGTTCCATTTAAAAAATTACATTGATTTTCAAATTTTTGAAAAAATGACTTTGAAAAAAAATTTTGTCATTATAATTACCTCCTATGATCATATATCATATCATATATTACCTCGTAATATTTTTTCCTCGTAATATATTACCTCGTGTAATTTTTTCTTTAGAAATTTTTTCGTATTACCAAAAATAAGTGAGAAATTTAAGATGCTCGATTTAAGTGCACTACTTTGCACATATATATAATGTATACACACAGAATGTTTATAAAACTTGGACAAACTTCTAGGACGTATTCCTCTTGGCAAAATAAAGAAAAAATTTATATAGACTTATAATCAAATATGAATACGAATTACAGTAAAAGAAAATTTATATTAACGTTACTATTAAATAATCATATGTAAACATTTAAATTATAACAGTCAAGGCAGACGATATGTTCAGAACATATAGTTTATGCATGATGAAGCACCATCACATTTTAGCCGTCAAATGAGAAATGTGGTCAATAATAATTATCCAGATAGATATATTGGCAGAGGAGAAATAGTTTCAAGGACTCCATGTTCCCCAGACTTGAATCTGCTAGATTTTTATTTATAGCCCGTATTGATAGTTGTTACTTAAAATTTATTTCAAGTAAGATAGATTTTTATTCAGAGTGAGATAGAAGTTTTTCAGTTGAATTACGATAAACGTGACATT